TGGTTGCAAACTAAAATGGACAAAAAACAAAACCAGTGAAAATATAACTAAATTTAACTTGGTTCTTTAATGCAGGTTTCTATTTTGATATCTAATTTACAGTAATGTTTACTGCGAATGTCACCAAGTGGTGCAGCAATGATGCACAAACACAGCTCGTCAGTGGAACGGTAGCCACCTAGAACAAAAATGATGCTGCCCTTGTAATCGCAATAGGAGGTGAAATCAAAGTCTTGAGTATTGCATCACTGATATCAATGAATATTTCACTACCTACAATGATCATTAAAAAATTTCAATGTGAAATTTAGAACTTTGAAAGGAGTTGTTGGAAGTTTAGTCTGCACAAAGAAATATCTCTGATTTTACTGAGACATTCTCGTGTCTCGGTAAGTGCTGACTTCGCACCAGGGGCTGCTCCTCTGTGATTGATCTTCTGTTAGATTAATGGGTTTCTGCTGTCAGTTTGAAAACCTTCGGTGGAGGGGTATAATGGGCTGTCTGTCATTAGGTCCTGAAGGTGCTGTTTTTTTTTAACAGATGGAACACTCATCAGAGTAATTGCCGTCCACAGCATTTGCACATGTGCAAATTTATCCAGGTGAAGCTGGCTGTGTTGTAGTGAAGTATTTTGGCGTTTGGAGTAATCACTCTGGAATTTTAACTGGCTTAAAACACAAGAAACAGATTAGGCAAAAGGGACACTAATTTATGTAGCAAGAGAAGGTGATGCTGATTGAGTGAACAATCGTTGCCATGGAGATGCAACAAGAATGCAACATATGACTGTAAGACCAGACAGACTGCTTATATAGGATCCACTCTAGATCCAGCTCTTGCTGACATCATTGTTGATTATTATAAGAAGTAATATGGACCAGACCAAACCCCCTTAAAACCTGTGAAGGAGATAGCCTCGAGGCCGCCATCTTGCCTTTATTTTAAAGGCAAATACCAGATGTTGTGTTCTGGATGCAATTAAATTGATCAAACTACGAGGTTTGAAACAAAACGCATTTTATTCATGCACTATAGTTAACATACAGACCAAAAAAAGAAAAGAATTGGCTTAACTATATCAAAATACTTTACAAAATAATAAACTACTCATTAGCTGTTCCATTGTCGCAGCATCCCGTAAGCACACCCTTGGCAAAGGTAAAGTTGATAAAATAGATTTCCTGCTGTTTGGAATTGCATATGAGCTAGAGAACGCAAGCGTTTAGCTGCAGGAGAGAGAGAGCAATATAGTAGCTTTCACAACCAACAGCTACTGAAAGCTAAATTAAAAATCCTGGTTCTGCGGTAGTTTGACCCCATCTCTTCAGGCTGCTTCTATTATTCCAACGTTTTAAAAAGGAAAGCCCAAGGCACCTCAAGCTGTTTACTTTATTGGCTTGAAGCATACTGCGTGGTGCCTCTGTCTCGAAATGGGCCCCATCCACCACGTAAGCTTGATCTTGAGATCTGGCATGTCAAAACTTGCTGTATATTGCAAAAGTTGATTAAAAGGGCCAACGCTAATCATTTTGGTCCTAAACAGTGCCTAGTCTATCTCACATCATCCTGGAAGGGGAATGGGTCTCAGATCTGAACAACAGGTGAAACGAGCTATATCATTCTGCTGCTTTTGCAGTAAACGTAGAAGTGATTTTCCCAAATAACAGAATGCTACCGTCAGCCAAAAAATGAGTAAGGTGATGAGTTTCAGGGCTAATGTGATGACAAATACAGAGGCTGTATGTTCCAACTGCTGAAGGACCATAATCAAGCCACATTTTCATTTGACTATTCAGAGCAGGTGGCATGCCAATTGTGCTTTATTAGCCCATGCTTGCAAGCCTCATAACAATTTATCCACCATTTAAAGTGATTCAGCTCATAGTAATCATAAGTGTTCCAGACTGTGCTAAGAATTACAGTGGAAACTAATTAAGTTCATAACTTGGGCTTGCAGTGTGCAGATCCTTTTGTGTCTGCTCGAAGCTACATCTGTTAATGCACACGACCTTGCTTTATGTAGGTCAACAGAATTCATTTGTACATTACCCCCTTTCTCTCCATGAAAAAAGATGCATGGAGACTGTCAATCTCTGTTCAGGTGTTGCCATGGGAATGCAAAGTTAGGCTACCTGCTTGGTTTGAGGTCTAAGATTGTGCCAGATTAATTGCTCAAGCTGCATATCCATGTCAATGATGGCCCAATGAATAACCACCCATTCCTCATGCTGTAGAAGTTGGTAATCCTTTTCTGAATTTGTTCCATATACCTGGTGCTGATGAGTGGAAAACGGAAAGCGTGAGTTTAAGCCTCTTTAATGTTCAAGTTCTTTACTACCAGGCAATTATTTATAATTTTTTCCTGTGAAACGCAGAGGAAGGAAAACTGGGAAGCTTATCTCTGGAAGAAATAGACTAGAGATTCTGAAGAAGTCACAAAAGGATTATTGCATAGAGATCAAAGATGAATGTTACAAAAACAGAAATTGCTGGAGAACCTCAGTAGGTCTGGCAGCAACTCTGATGTTCATCTTTGCATGTTCTTTTGTACGTTTTGCGGAAAAAAAGTACAAGTACTTAATGTTAAACTTTAGTGAGAATATTATTCTGATCCAGAGAGGGCAAATGAGAGATCTCCAAGAAGTTTTGAGATAATTTTCGTTTTTGTTTATGGAACTTGAGGACTGCTGGCAAGACCAGCATATGTTACCTATCTATAATTTGTGCTTGAGATCATTTAAAAGTCACTTACATTGCCTTGGGTTTGGAGTCATATTGGGTCAGACTAGGTAAAGGTGGTAGGTTTCCTTCTTTTAAATCCAGATTTGTTTTCATAACAATTAATGACAGTTGTCATGGTCATTGTTACTAAGACTAGCTTTCAATCCCAGAATGATGAATTTTAAAATCCACCAGTAGTCAGAGTGGGATTTGAGTGTATGTGCCCAGAGCATTAGCATTGGGTCTCTGGGTTAATAGATCAGTGACTTTATCACTGTATTACCAGCTCTTTAGCTGCCCCTAAGGAATTTTTTTTTTTGATTCACGTTGGTGCATGCATTTAGAGTTTTGATATTTTGTCATCCATTTTGACACCAGCTTGTTTAATAAAATGTCTTAATTCTGTTCTTTTTCTTTTGCTTTTTCCTTTTGCGCCCCCCACCCCGCCTCCACCGTACACACAAGCAGACTCTTTATTTGGAAGCCGAATGCATATTATGCTGTCTGCTTGAAAATAATTCCTGTATGACTATCAACATTTGCATTTAAAAATAGTCATTTTGTTACCTTTTATTTTAGACTGCCATTTTTTAAAAAACTGGTAGCTATTGTATAAATGTTTAATTCAGGGGGATTGGTGGTAAAATCACTAATGCGTTCAGGATACTGATCAAATGCCACCGCACCTGGTGGAAGTGAATTGAGAATTATCCAGTGGATAGAAAATCAAGTATGGGAACAAGTTGATCATTCTTAGATTGGAACGCTGTAAGTTGTGGGCTACCACATGGGTCAAGGCTTAGGCACCAACTTTCACAATGTTTAACAATTATTTATACTTCCATTTGGTCCCAAAATTTAATTTTTCCAGGTTTTCTGATCACACAAAACTAGGTGGGTCTACAACTTGTGAGTAGGGCACATGAGGCTTTAAAATGATTCATACTGGCTAAGTGAGTGGACAGAACTTAGCGTTGGAATACAAGATGGTAAAATGTGAAGTTTCCTACTTTGGTAGGAAAAATGCATGGAGATAAGAAAATGTTGATGTTAAAAGGGACCTGGAGTATGCTTGTCCGTAAGCCCCTCCGATAGTACAGTAGGTAAATGCAGCAACCAATTAGGAAGACAAATGGCATGTTTTCTTTTCTTGCAAGATGATTTACTCCAGCATTCAAATCCATCTTGTTACAGTTGTATGGAACTTTGGCCAGACTGCTGTGCAGTTTTAGTCTGATTAACTAAAAAGGATATCCTTTACATATAGAGAGTTTGCCAGAATGATACCTGGGATGGCTGAGCTTTCCTTTGAGGAAAGACTGTGACTAGGGTTATATTCTATAGAGTTCAGAAGAATGGAAGATGATTTCGGTGAAGCATACAGTACTCCTGCGGGGCTCATTCGGATAGAAGTAGGAATGAGATCTAGCATTGTGGTCATAATCCCAGTATAAGATTTTAGGACTGAAGTGAGGAATTTTTCTCAAGGTGGTGAGTCATTGAAATTCACTACCCCATAGGGCTGTGTACATTGCTGTTGAGTACATTCAAGACTGAAATCAATAGATTTCACAATATTAAAGATATTACGGCTGTGGGGAAAATTATTTTAAAGCAGAAGATCAGCCACGATCTTGTTTCGGGTGTCAATCTTGCGAAAGTTTGTGGCGAACTCACTAGTTGAAATCTAAAAAGATATTTCCATGTTCTAATACATTGAATCACTTCTGAAGTAGTGATCTTTCTCGGGGAAATACACTGACCATTTTGTGAAAACTAAAATCCAGAATTGTTAACAGTTTAGAATCAAACCATTGGTGTTAAACACTGAATTTCATTCTCCATATGCTCTAAATTTATCATCTTGAGATATGTATCAGTTTATCTCAGAAGTGGTTATGAATTCCTCCATTGCTGTTCCTGTTCGGTCATACTGTTTCTTTTAAAATTTTATTACAAAGATGGTTTTATCAATCCCTCACTTCAGAATCGCAGAACCTATTGAAAATTATTGGAAGGCATGTTAGCTATGATAGTTGGCAATTTTTTTTCTGCCCTCTGCAATTGTTACAAAATTATCTACCTGAACTACAGAGCAGGCTAAAAGTTTAACATTTCGACCCAAGAACAACGCCTCCAAACAATTCTGCCTCAGTGCTGCAGTGTAGACAATGAGGCAATACCAGTTTTGCGGAATTAGTGGGATCTTTTGATAAAGATGTAAGCTCCAAAAGGAGTTAATTGTAACTAACTTTTTAACTTTGTTTTTATTTCAATAGTGAATTTACGGAGAAAAGAAAATGGCAGCAGAAACACAAACCCTTAACTTTGGGCCTGAATGGTAAGGGATGTTTCCATGTTTTATCATCAGCTATCTTTTGTTTATGTTTAAATTATTCTGAAAGCATGACTGTTAACAGGGTGCATGGCAGTCTCTGTTTAATGGAAAAATTACATTTTGTATTTCAACTCTGATCATCACTTGCTGAGAAAATGGGTCTATCTATTCAAAATGTGCGATGTATTTGTTCAGCTTGATAACATTGATAGAAATTGAGGATTTCATATTTTATGATTACCTAATCTATGGAGAACATCTCGCGCTGGTTTTGAATTGACCAAAGGCTGGCGTCAAATCAAGTTAAGAATTTTGATCATTTTGGAGCTGGAGGAACATGCAACTTTGTGAATTTTAAAAGAAAGAGCAGATTAACATCTGTAATCCCAGTCTATAGAGGGTTCTCTATACCTTTTCATGTTGTACTTGCTTTTTCCTTAGTCAAGAAAATAAAACGACCTAGGGACGACTTCATTACACACACTTACCAAGTTATAGTGGGCAGCTTGGTTAATCTGTTTGTAGTGTGTTAATGCAAACGACAACTTTGAATGGGTAGGAGTGAGCATAGCTGGCAAGGTCAGCATTTGTCGCTCATCCTAAGGTGCCCTTCAATTGTTGCCAATGAACCATCACCTTGGTTTATTGTAGGTACACTCTCACGGATGAAAGGAAGGAAGTTCCAGGATTTAACCCAGCACCAATGAAGGAAGAGCAATACATTTCCAAGTCAGGATGGTGTGTGGCTTAGGTGGAAAATTGCAATTGCTGGTGTTCTTGTGCAGCTGCTGCCCTTGTTCTTTGGGTATGGTAGATGCTAATGAAAGAGCCTAGAGAGCTATTGCAATGCATCTTGTAAATGGCACCGTGTATGGTGGTGGATGGGCTGTTGATCACACTGGCTGGTTTGTCATGGATGATGTTGATCTTGTATCATTGGAATGAAGGTAATCCCATTGAATGTCAAAGGAGATAGTCGTATTATCTCTTAAAGTCCAAATTTGTATGGGGTTTCTAGTAGTGATGCAAGTGTGGAAAATGGGAAGTTTCTTGCTACATCAGCTGATTTAGTTCTGTTGAATGGGTGGCACACAGTGCAGCCTGATGTGGAGCAGCAAATGGCAGACAACGCTGACAAAGATTTTTGCATTAATCTGTCTATGGGCAAAACCAATTTTGTGTTGCTTTTCAGGGAGTAATGACAGTGATTACTGAGCTCCCTCAAGCTTGTACATGATTTAAGCCAATGTATTTTTATTGCTGTTATTTTGATCCGTTCCTGTTCAGAAGATAGGGACTAAGACGTTCACTGTCATTAAATCCCTACCACCAAAACATGCTTCAATATAAACATTCCTGAAAATGGAATTTAATTTGAGAATGGACTTAATATCGGAATGAAAGGTTACAATTCAAAAATATAATTTGAAATAGGACAGATCCTCATTTCTGTCACAACTAGTGTTTCATACTGATGGATAATAGGATATTTTCAGATAGTGATACTTTTTGAACGGTGAAACAGCAAGTTGTGTGAACATTGAATTATTGGATATTATTGGACTGCCGGCACTCAGTTGTAACTAAATCCAAGTGGGCTGGTTTCTGCACTGGTGGCATAATGCATTTATTGTTGCTTGTTGAGATTGAGATTGTTACAATTTTAGATTGTGACAAACAGAAGCTGCTAAAGAATGTTTTAAATATGTTCTTTTTTCTTGCAGGCTTCGTGCATTGTCAAGTGGTGGGAGTATTACCTCCCCACCCCTCTCGCCAGCATTGCCAAAGTATAAGTTAGCAGATTACCGTTACGGAAGAGAAGAAATGCTAGCACTTTATGTAAAGGATCTCAAGGTATATCCTGGCAAGATCTTGAATTGCAGGATGAATGTTTAGATATTGATATAACTGATGGAATTAGTTGAAATGTTCTTATTTCTTTTTGTGACTTAACTAATTTCTGGACTGGCTCCTAAATATTGAGTCACAAATTCTTGAATAATAATTCTGTGGAACATCTTGAGCACATATTCTTAAGAAGGGATCCTTATTTTGGAATGCAAAACTTATCTTTTGGCTTTGGGAAAAGATGAGAATTGAGTATTTGTATTCAACCCATCTCCTTGCCTGAGGTGTGGTGACCCTCAGGTTAAACCCACCAGTTGTATGTCTCTAATGAAAAGCAGCCCTGTGGTCTAGTAAATTAAAACACGTGGTTAACAATAGATCAGATTTGTTCTGCAAGCGGAATGATCATTCGTTTCTTGTAGTCAATATTCCAGTGTCTAAATTAGTACTGCAGCCTGAGTTCTTCCTCTTCCCCCACACCATTTTATCAACCCCACATTCCATTTTTGCAGTAAATTTGTGTTTCTTAAGCTAGCTGATCTGATGGCTTGTTCAAACATCTTGGTTAAATTTATTAACCATGAACTTGTTCACTGGTTACATTCTTCCCACACTGATAGTTAGCTAATAGCAGGAAGCACAAGTGTGCTTAGTTGATTAACATTTGTTTGTAATCCTTTCAAAAACAATTGGTGAATGTTTAAAAACTACAGCAAGTTAAGAAATTGGAGCCGAAATACGTCATTTAGCCCATCAAGCCGCCTCCATTATTTAAATAGATTGTGAATGATTTTGTACCTCAGTGCTATTTTGCAATGCTGCCTCCATGTCCTTTGACACTAAAATCTAGAAAACTACTATTTTCTATCTTTAGCATGATCTTCTATAGCCTTCTGAGGTAGAAAATTCCAAAGATCCCCAACGATTTTAGTGAAGAAACTTCTCCTCATCTCTCTGCTTTTAAAATCTCAAACTATTTTTTTAAAACTTAGTTTCTTAGTCCCACAGTCTCACTAGGCCCTTATTTTGACCAGCCCCTTTGTTCTCTGGGATTCCTCAGAGATTTTTTAATCTTCCTCCGTGAATGCGGGCACAAGGTGTTTGTTCAGTTTCTCTGCAGTTTCCTTATGTGCCGTTGTAAATTCTCCTCTTGTTTCTGCCTGCAATGTGCCCACAATTTTCTTGCTAATCTTTTCCTTTTCTCATACCTCTAGAAGCTTCTATAGTTCCTTTTTATGTTTGTTGCTAGTTTACATTCATGTTTATTTGCTGTTTAAGTTTCTTGGCTGTCTTTGACTGTAAGAATGCTCCCAAGCCACAGGCTTAGTCCTATTTTGGCAATGTTCTGAGCCTCTTCTTTGTTCTAATAGTGTTATCTTTTTTGTTATTCATAGTTGGATCACTTTTCTGGCTGGTGTTTCCTTTTCAGAAAGGAATGTAAATTTGTAAGCTGTTTAGATTGCAGAAACTAATTGCCAGTTTGTTGATGGCCATATCCTATGCTACGAGCACTTCTTGGTGGTGGGCTGTCTGCAAACCGCATCAGCTCCTTTTTTTTTAGTAAAGGAGCAGTATAAACACTCCACACATTAAGTTTCAATAACTTGTTTTTAAAAATTCAGCCAGTCCTTCCACAGTTCTTTTTTAAAACATTCCATTTTCCATCAAAAAAAAATGTGGTCTTTACAATGGAAGAATCCAAAATAGTCCTTACTTTCACTTCATAATGTGCTTCTTCTTATCACAGTTGCCCAAATCAGTCACTTTTTTTGTTTTGACAAATTCATTGTTTGCTGGATTTATAACTAATTAATGTTTGTAGCCCATCGAACAGTTGTCAGTGTAAATGTTCTTTGCATGTTTGGCTGAAAGCAAGCCAAATCATTTAGGTAAACTGCACAGTTACTTAGTACTTCAATAAGTTTATTAGCTAATCATTGGAATTTTGGTGCTTCCAAAGCCAGTTTTCTTTTTGGCTGTATCAGCCAATGAAACTTGCCAATATCCATTTAGATTTTGGTGATGAATCATGTGTTCAGTCTGTTTACTGCTATTCTCCAGTCTTGGAATAGGAAATTTGTCTGCTTTTGTTACCATGTTGCCTTTGAAAGGGATAAAAAAAAATTGGTCTGGTCTTGGCAGCATCACAATAGGTGAACTCCAGCCAGGATGAATGGATTTAGTAATGTCGTGGTCAATCATGCAACACCAAGTTATAGTCCAACAGGTTTATTTGAAGAGTCTTGCTCCTTTGGGTGTCAATGAGAGGTGACATCAGACACAGCTTTTATAAGCTAAAGATCAAAGGGTCATAGAACTGATGCGAATGTATTGAACAAACCTAAGATGGCTGTTAAATCTTTAATCAGTTAGAAAGGATTCGTATGCAAATCACAGAATTTCTTTCAAGTCACTGCCCTCTGATAACTGTAGGTTTTATCAATATACCAGAGGTGACATCTCTGGTCAGACAAGGCATTGTAGGTGTGAGGCTACACGTGGGGACACCACCCACCACGTGCGTGGCAGGTGCTCGTGTGACTCGGCCAACGTCGTCCATCTCGTATACTGCAGGCAAGGATGCCCTGAGGCATGGTATATTGGTGAAATGCGGACGCTATGAGAATGGATGAATGAACACCGTGCAACAATTTCCAGACAGGGACGTTCTCCCCCAAAGGGGGAGCACTTCAGCGGTCAAGGACATTTGGCCTCACACTTTTACCCACGAGGACAGCTTCAACCAGGACCTTGGTTCATTCTCCACTGTGCGCACAGACTCTCAGGCACACACACCCAGATGGTGAACTTGCATTTGAAGATTTGTAATTGCAGATACGTTCTGTCGTGTTCGAAGAGCATACAACTTGTAGGCAGTGTGGCATTTTATAAGTTCCTTCTTTGGAAATAAAACCAGTCTGACTCCAAGGTAATATACAGCCAGATTCTAAACAGGGCTTCACACATATAATGCCCATTCTGACCTGAGATGTCACCACTGGTATGCTGATAAAACCTTTAGTTATCTCAGGGCAGTGCCTTGAAAGAAGTTCTGGGATTTGCATATAGACCTGTTGGACTATAACCTGGTATCATGTGATTTTTGACCTTGTTCACCCCAGTCCAACACTGGCGCCCCACGTTGTGGTCAATCATGAAGTTAATCTCTTCCCACTCTTGAATTTAAGTTCTCTGGATTCAGTCTAAGGATGTTGCTTTATAGGTAAAATATCTCCTGTACCGACATCATGAACAGATAAAATTGTCTTACTTTGGTCGCACCCAAACCAATTTATGATTCTCAAATTGCCTTTGTAAGTCACATTGAAAGTTATCTGGAAGATATAGACTATATAAACTTTTAAACATTCCTGGGTTATCCCATCTGACTGCTGAAAGGGATCAATATTTTAAATTTCAAGTTTTGATTCTTCAGTTATTCTCATTTTTATTTCACTACCTATGCCTTTCACTATTGTGAATATATTTTCTCCTGCGTCTTCAGTCCCATCATCTTTTTAACATGATGCAGTCGATGCTTCTTTCTTCCGTCTTGAGTGCTCACTGCATCATTTACGTAGGGTTTATAATTTGATAAGGTGCAGTGAACCTTGTGTTTAATGGTTTCCCCAAAGACAGTAACAGTAACACCTTGGCTCAAGCAACAAAATTTTGACTTTGTGTTTTTAGAATCATGGAATCCCTGTAGTGCAAATGGAGGCCATCCGGCCCACTGACTCTTTCTTTGAAAAGCATCCTACCCAGACCTAACCCTTTAACCCCTCATATAGCATGGCTAATCCACCTAATTTGCACATCTTTGGACACGGCGGGGGGTAACCACGCCACCCATTGGAAACCCATGCAGACACTGGGAGAATGTGCAAACTTCACACGCACAGACAGTTACTCAAGGCAGGAATTGAACCCGGGTCCTTGACTCTGTGAAGCAGCAGTGTTAACCACTGCTGCTGTTTTTCTTTGCCCCCTCCCCTCCCTAGTGTACTGTATTGTTTCCCCCCCCACTTCCTTAACCCCCCAAAATTCCAACTTTTATGTGCTGATCAAATCGCTATCTCTTTCTACCTCACTTCGTGCACAACTCCAGCTCAGTAAATACATGAGCTTTTTTTTTAATCCGTCACCCTCCCTTTCCCACTGGCATGTGCATTTAGTCAGTCAAGAATTTATTCAGAAGTTTGAATTCCTTTTTAATCTGCTCTAATTTACATTGTTGAGCATCCTTCCAATTCTTTTTGGCTAACTTGCATGCTGTGATAAATTTCTGTTTGAAATTCAAAGCATAAGCTGGAAGCATAGTCTCAGCTTTGATGGATCAATTTCTGTTTAAGCGATTAAACAAAGTAATTCAAAATGACGGAATCCTGATCCTAATACCAGACAGTAACAAAGGAATTCCCTTATCCCAAGGACATTATTCACAGAAGTATAGTCATAGTCTTCAAAATTTGATGCCATCTTTCCAGTGTACTTTGAGATTTTGTGGTTGATGAACAGAAGATGTAAATTGTTTTATTCCTAAATTAGTGGTTATTTCTTTGAATATTTGTGGTGTAAAACTTCAACTTTGATCTAATTGTTTCTTTGGGCAATCCATACCTTGTTTCAAAAAAAAGTTGAACAAATGTTTCCACTGAAACTTTACGGTAAATTTTCCAGCAGGCACTGCTTCAGAAAATCTTCAGAAGCATTCATCACCTTTTAAAAGATATTGATTACCATGCCTGGTTTTAAGTGTGTGTCCTACACAGTATTGAGACCCTGCTAAATCGTTCTTCAAAAGTTGCTATCAAAATTCAGAGTGCAGGTATAATTGATGCTTGGGGTTACCCCCATTGCCTGATGTGTATGGCGTGTCTGGCAAAACTTGACCATATGTTTATCTAATCTTAGCCAATAAAAATGTTTTCCCCATTGCCCGAGTGACTTACCATTGGAATTCTTTGAACCACATTCAAACTTTGTTACAATACTCAGATGGGCCT